AGTCTTCAAGTAATCTATTTGATTAGATTATTAGGTCTGGCAATTAAACAGATTTCATATTTACGATAGTTAACAAGTATTGTATCCAACCATCAATACCTTCTAATTTATGATATTAAAATAAATCATTTGAAATGAACCCGATTATTCTAAATGAAACATATGAGATTATTAACCTATTCATTTTGTATATACCTATAATCAGATTCAAAATACACATTCGTATACATATCTAGTTTATAAGGGTTAGTTATCAGTATATCATTAAACTTTTGGTATGTTTCCCTTTAATTTGTTTATAGGATAAAGCTGGAATTATATATATATATATATGCACTGTTGTAATGTCATATTTTTTAATTTTATTTTATGTAAATTAAGTCATTTCGGTTGAATTTATGAAGACTGCGTAATGCTTGTAAAACTCATCAGTATACATATATGAAATCATGAATCTGGTAAAGAGTGAATTACAACTTGATGGATCCAATGGAAACTAACATGTATTAGTATACTGTTTTAATTTATACCAATGTTTGTCAATATATAGAGGAATATGACAAAGGGTTTTTCGTGGATATTATAGTAATTTCAATTACTTGTTAATGAACATTTTCCACGTGGTAGCTAGTTGAATGCCACGATTTTAATTCAGACTGTTCTTATCAGCCCATATATGTATATATATAAAGCGTTTCTGCGGTTAATCTTTCTTCATGTGTGCTAGAACCTTTCTCAAGCATTTTGTTCCCTTCGAAATTAATCTTGTGCCCTGTTTCACCAGTGAGTTATGAATAAACTAGTTACTCACTAGTGGGATTAAATGATGGACACGCCATATTACGAAATAAGAATTTACTTCATATATATATAAACAATCTTAGAAAACACCAGTTAATAGTTGCAGCATCAAATGGATTATTACATAAAGCATAAGATTTATTTCAAATCGAAACCACTTTATTGTCTACCTCAAATATGGTTCGTTAAACACAATGAAACGAGCGCATAGTGTTGTTTCTAGATTTTATATTTTAGATCATCACATCCTACAATTAGGTAATGTAACACAGTTTACTTCTAATTTACATACTATGATGGGCTTATACAAATCTCTAATGGTTTTTGCATCAAACATGAAGTTTACTTATTATCTAGATTATACTATCCCAAAATATTGATGAACTTAAATAGATTTATTTGTTATTAGGTGGAGATTGATCATCAAATGAGAGTCCAAAAAAATATTGAATGACATTACAAATCCTCCACGAAAACTAACGGGCATAAGTAGATAAGCAAGTAAGTAAGTAAGTAAGTAAGTAAGTAAGTAAGTAAGTAAGTAAGTAAGTAAGTAAGTAAGCAATTAATGAATACCCAACGGCGAACCGTCGTGCTATTTCTTGGATTGGTTGAAGTTAGACGTTAACACCGTTGGATGCCGGTTTAGTGGTCTAGAGGTTAAGCGTTTGCACGCGAGACCGAAAGTCCCGAGTTCGAGTCCAGTGAGAGAGATCATGGATGTTCACTGTTGGGCAGTTCAATAATGAGACGAAACGGCCGTCCAGTAGTTCCAGGTTTTTCATGGTAGTCTAGCTTCAACTGACTCATGATTACAACCAGTGACATTCTGTATTTGTTATAATCACTTACTTAAAAAATCACTTATTTTATACATACTGATGATGACTACTGCGTGTAAACAATCTAGGCCATCTCAATCAACAGTCTTCAAGTAATCTATTTGATTAGATTATTAGGTCTGGCAATTAAACAGATTTCATATTTACGATAGTTAACAAGTATTGTATCCAACCATCAATACCTTCTAATTTATGATATTAAAATAAATCATTTGAAATGAACCCGATTATTCTAAATGAAACATATGAGATTATTAACCCATTCATTTTGTATATACCTATCACAATTGATTGATCACTGGGTGGTGATCAATGTCATGCTTGTCTAGTCCTTATTAGTGCAGATCGAATGCTATCGATCATGTTGCAATGTGGCCACCAGTCTAGGTAATTCGACACTGCGGGCACTATGTATTGAGATTAGATGGTGGTTGAAGGTAGTCAACAGGAAACCCTGGACCCGGGTTTCGTGCTACTTGGCACTCGTCAGCTAGGTGTACCTGTAATCTTGAGGGAACTGGTGCTCCCTGGCGGATTCGATCTCGTGTCACCCAGCTTCACAGTCAGAGACGTTACCACTGAGCTATCCGAGCCGTGACTAACCTCCTGTAGGACTGAGATGTAATCACAATTGATTGATCACTGGGTGGTGATCAATCTCATGCTTGTCTAGTCCTTATTAGTGCAGATCGAATGCTATCGATCATGTTGCAATGTGGCCACCAGTCTAGGTGACTCGACACTGCGGGCACTATGTATTGAGATTAGATGGTGGTTGAAGGTAGTCAACAGGAAACCCTGGACCCGGGTTTCGTGCTACTTGGCACTCGTCAGCAAGGTGTACCTGTAATCTTGAGGGAAGTGATGCTCCCTGGCGGATTCGATCTCGTGTCACCCAGCTTCAGAGTCAGAGACGTTACCACTGAGCTATCCGAGCCGTGACTAACCTCCAGTAGGAATGAGATGTAATCACAATGAAACGAGCGCATAGTGTTGTTTCTAGATTTTATATTTTAGATCATCACATCCTACAATTAGGTAATGTAACACAGTTTACTTCTAATTTACATACTATGATGGGCTTATACAAATCTCTAATGGTTTTTGCATCAAACATGAAGTTTACTTATTATCTAGTTTATACTATCCCAAAATATTGATGAACTTAAATAGATTTATTTGTTATTAGGTGGAGATTGATCATCAAATGAGAGTCCAAAAAAATATTGAATGACATTACAAATCCTCCACGAAAACTAACGGGCATAAGTAGGTAAGCAAGTAAGCAAGTAAGTAAGTAAGTAAGTAAGTAAGTAAGTATGTAAGTAAGTTAGTTAGTTAGTAGGTAAGTAAGTAAGTAAGTAAGTAAATAATTAGGTAAGTAAGTAAGTAAGTAAGCAGTTAATGAATTGATAAAGACTATACTTTGTAGATTTCATCTCGACTATATGATCCTTGATAAAATGGTCTGATAATATACGTTCCAATCGTATTCGGTTTGAAGCTGGTATTCTTTTGGTTAGTTTATGTGTTGGATTTATTCACGTTAAAATTATCTTAAAACATTGGGTCCAAATGATTTGAATAATCTAGATTAGAATACATTTACACCTTTTCGTAACCGAATATTATGGTTACTATCAATATGACTTACATAAAATGGGATTGAAATATTTATTAACCAAACGTTTTATTCAGTTGTACAAAGGAGAAAAATCTTTTCAGAAATGTCTTACTTCAATCATTCCAGTCCTGAGTTCGAATCTCACGTGCAGGGATCGTGAATGTGCCCTGCAGAGGAGTCCCATAGTGGGATGAAACGGCCGTCCAGTAGTTCTAGGTTTACCATGATGGTCTAATTTCAGATGACTCATACATTCGATTATTAAACTACTACAATCTCCAGAAAATCCCTCTCTGATTGTGATTATATATATTAGTTGTTTGCAACTTACCATTTACGTTTTATGACTGTAGTTGAACAGGTAAGTTCACCTTATGAAATCCGAGTAGGGTAAAACATGCATCCTAGATTCCATTGCTAGCCACTATTCATCTTTGCTTAAAATGCTTGAAAATTAATGACAATATCTAGGCAATCCATATAGGATGTATGTATATCAGAAGAGACTTAACATTTGCATTAGTTTTTGATGAAGTTTTGTTCGCTGAACTGGATGGTTTGGTCGTGGATCTTTCATCGTTCTTCCGAACGACATCATCAGCACAAATCTTCAGATAGAAGTCACCTGAAGAAGTCTACCTGAAGTTTGTGCTGACAATGTCGTTCAGAAGAACGATGAATGCTCCACGACTAGACCATCCAGTTCAGAGGACGGAACTCCATCAAAATTGTCCACTTGAGCTACAAATCTTTTCCACCATCTCGAAATTGCATTAGTAAACTATTAATGAAAAGATCCAAACAAGCAATATGTATAAATTAAAATTAACTCCACTCCAAAAGGCAGTAGCTATCTGTACTTAGTAGTTAAGTGGATAACGGAATGGCATTTGAAGAGAACAGTACTGGGTTTGAGCTTCGGAGAGAAGATCAACTTGAATGAAAGTACACCGAAATGATAAGTGCTAGATCAGGAAAAACGCACTTCCTGGATTACCCTGCAGCCACGACCAGGTCTGAAGCCAGCTTGATTCTATCGTGTTCGCAGTTCATGAGTCTTAGTTAGGCGTCTGATAATTATCGGGGCTAGTATTTTAGATACTATATTAGTTAAACTAATCTCTCTATGGTTTTCACAGGATGATTTTAACGCTCTCTTATCTATCGGGACGATAAGTGATTGTGACCAGTCAGATGGAATAACGTCTAACTCCCAAATCTTATCTAAAATATCAGTCAACCCAATCGTCAAAATTGGATTACCACCCTTAAAATTATCTGGAGTCAATCTATCTGGACCAGCTACCCTTCCTGGTTTCCGATTAACTATAGCCTTTTGAACTTCTGCTAGAGTTGGGTGCCCTACTTCAATGTTCCATTCACACAGTCTGGGAATGGAGGGTAGTTGTAGAAAAGCTGAAGGCCAACTGAACTGTTCTCTGTAATGTTCCGCCGATCGTTCTAAGCGTCTGGACTGAGAGCAGATGACAGTGTCGTCTTTTTCCGAAATAGTCTGACTTACACTTGACTTTTTAATTCCAGTTTCTTTCATTAGTCTGTAGAGCTGTCTTGTGTTCTCTATAGCCGCCGCCTCTTCCATCTCTTTTGCTTTGGTTGCTCATCACTACTCACGTCTCCTACCTCATTGTCATCTGCATTTGAAATACCTAATAGAAATGCAAATCAAACTTTACCAATGACTGACAATACAGAGTACCTCAGTTATTGTATGTATGTATAATAGTTTTATTAATAATAATAACGACAATAATAAAATACCTGCTAATATCGAATTTAGTAAGCAGCAGAGCGAATGGAATTCTAAAGATTCCACTGTTTTTCCAACATCGTATTATAATCCTTCTTCCGACCCTGCTGCTATTCATAATGTAAATAATTCTAATCAAGAAAATAATACACATGTACAATCATCTCATCCACAATATGATGGTGATGAAGAAGACGAGGAAGTGGTAAACGATATGTAAGTTGTATTTGTTTTCCGTTTTTCCTCTCCGGTTTTACATTTTCTGGTCCAGTTGGTTTAATATTCCATTAACCAGATTCAGATTAATTTGCCTGGTTTTGAACCACGCTCTGATTGTATCGAGCCTCTAAGTTACCGTGCCACATTTCCAGGCTAGTTGTATCACATTGATGAACATTTTTCTTTTCCTTGCTGTTAACAAATAGACTTAGCGACTGAAACAGTTGATTTTCACTCACTTGGTTGCAGTTCGAACCCTGGCCGATCTGCTTAGTTTTGAGCACCCGAGTAGTGTCAATTCGACCACTTACGAAAATAATGTGACGCGAAGCCTGTGGTGGTCGGTATTCGATATAATCCTTAAACTTTGTATACAGTTCGTCGTGATAACCGTTCTATATAACGTACCAACGATATATTAATCAGAAGGCAAATACGAAGTGTTGATTACGTTTATTGCGAGACCACACACATATATCCAAATGTACAGATGTGTTAAACAAGCATAGAAGAGTTGTGCCGAAAGGCAAGCAAGCGAGCAGGAGCCAGAGCAAGAGCGTGACGAGACCGTGCGAGCGAGTGAGTGATTGCGAGTTCAATATGAATAACATGGACATATATATACCATGTGAAATGAATGAGTAATCGAATCGAATAAGCGGTTAGTGGTAAGACTAACAGACTGAATAAATGCGTAGGCAGTAATCAATATTCAAGCATACGTATTTCATACAAGCTCAAAATAATAATAAGGATACAATAAATTGTTGTGGTGTGGATGGCTTTGTCCGCTAAATAAGTTAACAAAAAGGGCTTAACTGGGTTAAATGAAAATAAACCCATTTGCACGTGAGTCGCTATAATAGCTCCCCCCTGCAAACAAAGATATATGGAAAATGTCTGTGTTTGCATAAGAAAAATAGTAGACTGAATAGGGTAGAAAAATGGCTTATACAAAATTAAGGTGAAGTTATTGTGTGCTGTACATTTAGTTTGTGCCCGTCCGTGAGGTTACATAAAATAACAGCAAGAAATAGAAGGAATGTGGTATTGTCTTTACATTTTAAACAAAAATTATACGCATAAGTGTAAGGGTACATAAGATACGTTGAGTTTTATAGCGCATAACATGAGCTTAATAATGCATGTGTATACGATGAGGTAGAAGTTATAATTAATATTTAAAATAGTAGAAGATCATTAATAAAAGATCGCAGCGACGTATTGTTGGGGCCATCTTACTCTGCGGCCGGATCTTGTTGTTATCGGAGTCTTGTCTTTTTGTTGAGTTAACGTTGTTGATTTTTGGGACTCGTGTTTCGCTGGTATGACCATCTTAGAGGAGTCTGTACTTGTTGATTGAATATCGCTATCGATGAAAGCTGGCTTTACTCGATCGATGCTAATTACATCTGTATTCCCAGTTTTCTCTATGGTAACCGTTTTAATTGTCCTCTCTATCACTTTAAATGGTCCGTCGTAACTCGGTTGAAGAGGTGGTTGTACTTTATCTCTTCTAATGAATACGTGAGAGCTGTTATGCAGTTCCTGTGGTATGAATACCCGTCGTTGTTGTGGTCTGGGAGGTGTTATTTTTAAATCGCTCATGTGCTTTCTCAGGCGTTGCACATAGCCGGTTACATCAGTCGGGACATTTTTACTTGAAGTGAAAAATTCTCCGGGTAGCCGTAGAGTAGTTCCGTAAACTAACTCGGCTGGACAACATCCCATGTCTTGTTTAATTGTTGCTCTTAGAGCTAACATTACTAGGGGAAGTTTATTAGACCAATCGTTGTTAACGATGACGGCTGTAAGGGACGCTTTTAATTGCCTATGTAGGCGTTCAACCATTCCGTTTGCCATTGGATGGTACGACGTCGTTCGGATTCGTTTAATACCGAGGAGTTCTGTAAGCTGCTGAAAGAGTCGACTTTCGAATTGTGCTCCTCTATCAGTTGTGATAATCGTTGGTACACCGTAGTAAGAAATCCAATTTTCGACTAGGGTTTTAGCTACCGTTTCAGCTGAGGTGTCTTTTATCGGCACTGCTACCGGCCATCGTGTAAACCGATCGATGCATGTAAAGATATAGTTGTATCCATTTGAAACGGGCAGTGGTCCTACAATATCGATGTGTATATGTTCAAATCTAGTGTCTGGGTGCGAAAACGGACCTACTGCAGAGCTAGTATGACTGTGTACCTTCACTTTTTGGCACTTCATGCATGCTTGTGTCCAATTACGTACATCGTGATTCATGTTTGTCCATACGAATCGTTCACTAATCAGTTTTATCGTGGCTTTTATTCCTGGGTGCGACATGTTGTGCATGCTTTCGAATATTTTGTGTCGCAACGTTTTTGGGATAAATGGTCGCGGTCGGCCTGCTGATGTATCGCAAATTACTTTCGTGTTACCAAACCGCACCTCTTCGAGTACTAATGATGTTGTACCACCGGATCTGAGTTTATTTAACTCGATGTCTCTCTCCTGCAACTTTGCTAGACCGTTATAATCAATTCCACTTGCCATAAGTGTGCTTATCGTTGCTCGTGACAATGCGTCGGCCACATCGTTTTCTTGTCCTTTAGCGTACTGTATGTCGGACGTGAACTGTGAAATGAACTCTAGTTGTCGGATCTCTCTCGAGGAATAATTGTCTTGCCTTGCGCTTAATGCTTTCGTTAGCGGTTTGTGGTCTGTATAGACGGTAAAACTTATGCCTTCGACTATATGACGGAAGTGTTTTATTGCTAAGTAGATTGCTAATAATTCTCGTCCAAACGTACTATATCTCGTTTGGGTAGGATTTAATCTTTTCGAGAAAAATGAAAGTGGCTCCCATACACCGTTTACTAACTGCTGCAAAACGGCTCCTACTGCTAAGTTCGATGCGTCTGTCATTACTGCTAATGGTGCTTCGTTCTCTCGTCGTACCAACATCATCTTCTCGTTTAGCGCTCGCTTAGCGTTCTCGAAAGGCTGTATAGCATCCGCTGATAGACGGAATGTTCGAGTATGTCCTCGCAAGGCGTCCGTCAATGGCTGTAATATTGCTGCGCAGTTTGGGATAAATCGTCTATAATAGTTTATTAGCCCCAAGAATCTTCGTAATTTTCTTTGTGAATCGGGCAACGGATAATTACGAATAGCAGCAACTTCTGTCGGAACTGGCATGATATCATGTGAATTTATCATATGACCTAGGAATTGCAATGATTCCTTTCCAAATTCACACTTTTCCACGTTAATAGTGACGCCATGTTCTTGAAGTCTCGTAAACAACTGTCGTAGATGTTGTAGATGTTCTTCTCTGGTAGAGCTAGCTACTAGTATATCATCGATATATGCGTGAACTTCTGTCAATCCCCTGACGACCTGATCGATGAATCTTTGGAAGGTTTGGGCTGCATTAGTTAATCCGAAGGGCATTCGCAAAAACTCGAATAACCCAAATGGAGTAGTTATAGTCGTTTTAGATATATCTTCTGCCGCTACGGGAATATGGTAATAAGCTCGAACGAGATCGATTTTCGAAAATATCGTGGCACCTTCCATATTGGTAGTAATGTCGTGGATATGTGGTATCGGATATCTGTCTGCTATCGTTTGCTTGGTAAGGGCTCTATAGTCTCCTCATGGCCTGATTTCCCCATTCTTCTTCGAAACCATATGCAATGGGGATGCCCAGGGACTATTAGAAGGTCTTATGATACCAAGCTTCGTCAACTTTTCGAACTCTCGTTTCGCAACATTCAACCTTTTCGGGTCTAGCCTTCGTGGTCTTGATTTATTCGGTGGACCTTTCGTTATAATATGGTGCTGTACCGTATGTTTAAGATCTCTGTTATCGTATGATACCTTCGTCAGATCGGCATACTCGTTTGGAAGCGATCTATATGGCTCGCTTTTGTCTTTTGACACTACTAAATTCATGGATGCGTGATCAGTCGTCACTCCTCTTATCACTACCGAATGGTCGCCGTTAACGAGCTGGTTTCGTCGGGTATCCACTAGTAAGTCAAAATTCTTTAAGAAATCAATACCGATTATAGGTACGGATACATCTGCGATAAAGAATTCCCAGCGGAATGAGGCAGTACGACCGAAAATCAAGGTTACTTTTCGCTTGCCATATGTTTTTATATCGGATTTATTTGCTGCCTTAAGTGTTAGCGCTGTATCGATATTTCATGTTTCGTTACTTACTGGAGGCACGACGCTTACTTCTGCTCCCGTATCCACTAAGAATTGAGCGCCTGTTACTCTATCCTGAACGTAAAATAAACGACTGTTTCTAGGAGCTGTTGTAGTTGTTGCGGCGGTTATCGACAATCGGTGCGTTCGTTTGAATTTACATGGTGATCTACAGTTTCGAGCTTTATCGCCGAAAGTTTGATGGTACCAACATATTGTAGGAGCTGAGCGTCTCCTAGAACGTGATCGACTTCTTTCCCTTGACCTACTTCGTGACCATCCTCTTTGCGTATCGCTCTGATTTAGTTTCATCAGCTTGTGGCATAAAACATTGATCTCCTTTTGTATTCGATTAAATCCTTAAACTTCGTATACAGTTCGTCGTGATAACCGTTCTATATAACGTACCAATGATATATTAATCAGAAGGCAAATACGAAGTGTTGATTACGTTTATTGCGAGACCACACACATATATCCAAATGTACAGATGTGTTAAACAAGCATAGAAGAGTTGTGCCGAAAGGCAAGCAAGCGAGCAGGAGCCAGAGCAAGAGCGTGACGAGACCGTGCGAGCGAGTGAGTGATTGCGAGTTCAATATGAATAACATGGACATATATATACCATGTGAAATGAATGAGTAATCGAATCGAATAAGCGGTTAGTGGTAAGACTAACAGACTGAATAAATGCGTAGGCAGTAATCAATATTCAAGCATACGTATTTCATACAAGCTCAAAATAATAATAAGGATACAATAAATTGTTGTGGTGTGGATGGCTTTGTCCGCTAAATAAGTTAACAAAAAGGCTTAACTGGGTTAAATGAAAATAAACCCATTTGCACGTGAGTCGCTGTAAGCCAAATATACATGGTTTGCCTAATAAATGCGCAAATTACGGTTATGTAAACTTTTAAATAAAGAAATTGAAGGTACATTAAAGTTATCTGACAAATATGTCGCGTCTGTTGTTATTATACTTATCCTGTCTCCATTTCAGTCAATTAAAACATTCCTAGGAATCCACGAAAATCATCCTCTCCAACGATTGCTCTGCATTTTCGCACTTCCGTATCGCATTAGTGCAATCTCTATCCAACCATTTTGGATTGTACAGACGAATAGGAATCATAGAATGCTATGTGTAAGGACAAGGAATCTTTATCTAGGGTAATGGAGTTATGCACTGACAACTCGCGGCGAATCATTTTTGAATTTCCAGCTATATATTCGCCTATTTATGTAATAGATCCTGTGAATATGAAGAAATTGCACCTCATTAAATAGTTGTGGAATAGAGAATAATCACCACAGTCATCGTGACTGAATATGGTGACCTTTTAGATATAATGGGGCCGTTTGTTTGTTTAATGATGTCCATACGTAACAACAAAAATAACGCAGTTTATTTGCGTGTTGGCCACATACGGTATATGAGTTTTTTGTTTATTAGGTTCAATTGACTGTTGTGTTATTTTAGAATAAGGGAATCGTTTAACTTGGACTTCATTACTGTTGTTTACTGTCTAAACGAAAAACATAACATGACGAAACAGTTGTACATTATTCTTGATTTCCCAATAATTGATGTTTAATTTTATTTGATAACTTACAATTTATCAGTATGGTTCCCAATCAAATATTAGGATTAAGAAACTATAATTATTGATACAGGCGTTACGACTGTCTTCGATACTATTTATTTATTTAAACACAAATATTTGTACAAGGAGGCAACAAATATATATGCGCCACACCAATCATTAGTCTTTCAGATTAAATGTAATTGGTTATTGTTTTAAATTGTGAAATTTTAATAAAAGACATGAAATGCCCACCTGAATCAATAATGGTCAGCTTCAAATTTATTGCTAATTACTCATTAGGATTTAACCGAATCAATTAAAGCAATATTGTATCAGATAATATATGTTAGTGTTTGATGTGATCCATTTTCTTTGTCCATACTCTGACGAAGCTTAATACTTTGTATTTAATCTTATACAAACTATAATGTTTAAAGCATATTTGATCATACATCCAATGTCCCATAGCGTTAAGAAAAATACTGTTCTCTGGGATCATTGAAGAAGGATGAACCTGGGAAGATTATTGACATCTTGAATGGCTTGAAAACCGACATTTCAGGTAGAGTGAAGGTATACAACCACCCTCCATTGTTCCGTTCAAACAATGAGGTCAGATGGAGTTACCTAATCCTCTCTATTTCTCTTCAATTTTGCCATTGACTGCATCCTAGAAACAGCTTTGACTAAATTAGGTGATGGTGATGTGAATTTATAATCTGCAGAAAAACATTTCGACCCTGAGTATGTGGGTGATCTCGTTTTACGTTGCAATGGTGCTCGAGACAAGTATTTCACACTTAATCAGTTGGCAATGGCTATTCGTAGGTACACAATATGCTTTGTACCTTAAATTACTTTTACAAGACTGTCAGGAGCCTGTGTCTGCAGTCACTTTTAATAGTGAGGATTTGAAAGTGGTTGTGTATTTGGGTAGCTGTGTTAGTGCTAATAGTGGCGTGACTGATGAGATCAATTGATTTATAGTGAAAGGCAGAGAGTCTTATACCAATCTGGGCCATGTTTGGTGTCTTTGACACCTTGACTGGGCCCTACAGATAATGCAACACGGTGTCTTGAGATGTCATCAGACATGTTTCAGAATAAAACTCAAGGGCGGTCCTATTGTGTGCCAGTAGACGGCATTTATTTGCTGGTACTAACCGGTACTACCCAGTTAAATTTGTTGAAGTATAGTAATATTAGAATTTCTTACTTAGTACCGATTTATTTAATCGGCTTTAAGATACACTTTAGTTATGAGAGCTAGTGATCAAAACCGATGGGTTGTAGTTCAAGTCTGCTACTTACTGATTGAAATTCAAATACCTTAATCACTAAACCGTCGTTCTATGAAGAAATGAAAGGCTGAAAAGTAAGGCACCAATTCACAGTCTTATTTAGATCTTCTAAGCCATATTTAATGTATTACAGTCTACTGGACTAGAAACTCGATTCCTTTTTGTTTATCCGTTTGCTTAATTTATTCGTCTGCATAATTTTCAACTCATTTTCGTAGGACTTTACAACTATAATACAAAACTCTGATAACTATATTTATCTATATATGTAGGTAATTCCTGATTATTTGATACAATATGCTTGAAGATAATTGAAAAGAAACAAATGACATTGAGTCTTTCTTTTTATATTCTACTTAGGAAATAAATGTTGAATTAGCTTCAATGTTAGAAAAATGCAATCGAGCATATGAATGTCCAACAGTTAAAATGAACTTAATGAAAGATCAATATGAACGTCGATTAACTGATTTAAACAGTGAATGTACAAATTTACAAAATATTTCTCAAAGAGATTTAAAGAAAACTAAAGAACAAGTTAGTGTTACTGTTCAGGAACTCTTTTCACTAACATTCTTTAATTTATAAGATATGTGTTATCAGTGAAAAATAAGTGAAAACTATGATTTCAGGGAAATAAATGTTGCGGTAATCTAGTGATCTATATGTATTTAAAAGAAAATTTGTTTGACACTTCGGCTTTAATGCCAGCACCTAGAATAATGTGACTGAGAACCAAACACACAAACTTGTTCTTGTATTGATGAATGAACATGTTAAAGATAATAATTAACTGACCAGTCAAGGAAGATGGCTATCTGATTATAACAAAGATAAGAGATTATTTTTTATTCTCTCTGTGTCTAGTCTGATTTTATTCTGCATTGATTGCTTGCAATTTGTGTCGGTAAATTATTGTTCTGGCCTGTTGTAATCTAGTTCTCAATACACTTTGTAATTTCTCTCAATAAACATTCGTTTCTTCTACCAATTGCTTTGTTCTACAATATGATTACATTGTTCTAGCTAGAAACTCGTATCGTTGATGTATGCTGTGTCTCTGAAACACGCATACAGGATCACAGCGTGGCCATTCAATTGACCTCACCTCAGCGAAGCGGAGAGCCAACGAGATACACCCTCCGAGTATCTGGTGACCCGACGGCCAGCTCTCGTGGACTGGCAGGAGTTGGCATAGCACTGAACATGACGGCGGAACAAGCACTGTTAGAGTGGATCCCCGTTAACAGTCGTTTATGTGCTGTTCGGCTAAACGGCTCCATAAGAAGTCGGAAGGATAGGGACACACGTCGTTGCCTTTCTGTCGTTTCTGCCTACACTCCCACCGACTGCAGCTCAGATGAAGTGAAGGATGAATTTTACAGAAAGCTATCTGAACTTCTTCAGAAAGCTAAACGTTCAGACATGGTACTCGTAGCAGGTGACTTTAATGCTCAGATAGGTATTTTAAACCAAACAGAAAGGCATTTAGGTGGGTATTTTAGTATTCCAGCACAACGAACAGATAATGGTGATCGTCTGCTGCAACTGTGCTCAGACAATCGTTTATTTTTAGCAAGCACAAAGTTTAAGCATGAGGAGAGACATCGCCTAACATGGCGACCCCCTACACCAAGCCAACGATGGACTCAAATAGACTATATTGCCATCAGTCATGGTTGGAGAGGGTCGGTAGAAGATTGTCGTTCATTCTGAAGTACCTACTTGGACTCCGACCACGCCCTAAGACGGGAACGCATCTGCTTGTGCCTCACTGGACGCAAAAAAGCCTCGGTTAAAAGACCCATTAGAACTGAATTGAGTAGCAAGAAAACCAAAAGTAGGTTCCAGGAACAACTGAGGTCACAAACAGCTGTGGAAACAGCAGTGACATCTACTAGTGATTTAGGCCACAGGGTTACAAAGAACCAATGGATTCCTTTCAAGGTCTATTGCACTGATGGATTCTCGTAAACTCATCCCATCGGGTTCTGAACACGATGAAGAGCGAAAACAAATCAGATCTATGTTAAGCAAAAGTCTAAGAAACGACCGTGAGCAGTGATGGGCAACGAAAGCAAAAGACATGGAAAAAGGCGGCTCTAGAGACTAATAAAATAACTGTAATTAATAAGTCAAGTGTAAGTCAGACTATTTCGGAAAAAGACGACACTGTCATCTGCTCGCAGTCCAATCTAGTACTGTTCACTTCAAACACCATCGTGTTATCCACATAGCTTCTGATTTTATGGAATAGTGATGTACATAAATAAAAAAGCCACTGATCATTTACAGTCCTAAACACCATTTTGAAGATTCTGACATACAATATATATGAATTTAACTCCACGTCATTGCACAATCTAGTAACTATGTGAACTCAGTAGCCAAGGGAATTATGCAATGGCGTTTGAAGTGCACGTTACTGGGTTCGAGTTTCGAAATGAACATCAACTGTGGGATGCAAATACATCCAAGTGACAATTCCCAAATAAGACAAAAGTGGTGTTTGGATTCCGTTGCTATCCACTATCCATCTCTGTTCATCACGACTTGCAATGCTGACCAATGTAGATGATGGTTGGTGCCAAGACGTGGCACCAATTCATGAAGTCACTAACTTCTAGTCTTAGCCATGTTGGTAGATGTAAACTAATTGGTTGTGGTCCGCATGACTATCGTAGCCAATGGTTGAAGACTCTGTGTGACACGGCTTAGAATCGATCACAGTGGCGTCGGTGTATACACTCTTTGTTGTTCCTTCATTTCCAATATCAATCACTCTTCGATTTTCTCAACCATCTGCCGTCAAGTTATTCCACTTTCGATTGATGATGCATACTATTTATATCTGTTAATATCAGTAGCACATACCACACTATGAACCAACACACTTACGTCAAAATTAATACCTTATATCCTGCCTTATTATTTGCTTGTATCTTCCCATTGCTGTTTAAGAATGAAATCGATTAGTCCCTTGTTATCATATATGTATCCTGTGTGTACTGCCTCGATACTGTTTTAAGCAAATATGGATGATGGTTATCGATGGAATCTAGGCTCCGTGTTTCGTCCTATTCGACACTCGTCAGCTAGATTTACCTAACTGTTTTCAGAATAAATGAGTTTTCTCTGGTTTACAATAGCTATCTGAATAATACTAATCCATAGTGAAAATGATAGTTTAATTATTATCCATAAGTTGTTTACTAATCAAATCCAAGAATAAATTAAAGTTTGTTTTTCTTTTTATGTTTGTTAACATTCTGAAATATTGATAATAAGAGTTTAGTTCATAGATATTTTCCACTCAATTGAATGGATTATATCACATACAATTGTAGATATCCCTTTGAACTATTCATTGAAAGTGTACTAATCTAACATTAGACATACATTTTGTAATATGGTTTAATATTTATTTGATGTTCTTAGGTAATGAGATGGTGGGGAAGATTTGTAGCTCAGGTAGATGATTTTGATGCTTCGATCCAAGTCGCCATAACCTAATTAGCACATCAAGATGAACACCAAATTCATAAAGGTAGTTAATTAAGTTGTGGCAAAATATAAAAGAAAGATTGCATGTAAGGATATAGTACAGGAAGAAAGAATTAGTTGATAGAATGAAAGATATGAAATAATTTTAATCACATAGTTTAAAGGAGCACAAATGGTGTATACATCTGCACCATTGTGATCGATTCTGAGCCATATTACCCAGGCTCCAACCATTGGTTACGATATTCACGCGAACCACAACCAATTAGTTTACATCTACGAACATGGCTAAGACTAGAAGTTAGTGACTTCATGAGTTGGTGCCACGTCTTGGCACCAACCATCATCTACATTGGTCAGCATTGCAAGTCGTGATGAACAGAGATGGATAGTGGATAGCAACGGAATCCAAACACCACTTTTGTCTTATTTGGGAATTGTCACTTGGATGTATTTGCATCCCACAGTTGATGTTCATTTCGAAACTCGAACCCAGTAACGTGCACTTCAAACGCCATTGCATAATTCCCTTGGCTACTGAGTTCACATAGTTACTAGATTGTGCAATGACGTGGAGTTAAATTCATATATATTGTATGTCAGAATCTTCAAAATGGTGTTTACGACTGTAAATGATCAGTGGCTTTTTTATTTATGTACATCACTATTCCATAAAATCAGAAGCTATGTGGATAACACGATGGTGTTTGAAGTGAACAGTACTAGATTGGATTTCTAGAGTGAAGATCAACTCAAATGTAGGTACATCCAGCTGATGAGTGCCAGAAAAGACGAAATATACATCTTGGACTCCACTACTAGCTACAATCCAACTCTGTTTACAATTTCGAAACTGCGTTTCTCACAATATTGAAATGGGTTAATGATCATAAAACAATAAACCCATCACCGAAATATTATTCCTGTTTTCCCGCTAAAAGTAACTCCAGATAGATTCTCAAAATTCCATTAAAAACCATTGACCAATGAAATTCAATCATTTCGAATGTCCTGTATACTTTTTTTTTAAGTTGATAGTCTGCACATAATAAATTCGCTGAGAAACATACAAGTACTAACTACATCTGTGGTTAAGTCCGGTGTGAGTACTCACTATCGAATAAGTTGTTACTAGTGCTACTTCCAAAGTTTTATAAATTGAACACATCCCATAATGAAAAATATCACCAAATTGAACTTATCCCACAAATTTCTCTATCATGATGAAAGTACTTTAATCAGTTCTTATTTAATGATTTGGTGACCGACTACTTTAGATTCTTCTTCTCATGAGAAGCAAACGACAATGAATTTCTTTATATTTAACTGATTGTTAAGAATATACTGATTAATTACATATGTTCTTACTTAATTATTATCGTTCATTTATGCCCGCCATATTGGAAACTCTGAATTTTGTTGGAGTTTTATTCTATGAACTGGATGGTTTGGTCGTGGAGCTTTCATCATTCTTCTGAACGACATCATCAGCACAAATCTTCAGGTAGAAGTCACCTGAAGAAGTCTACTTGATGATATCGTTCACAAGAACGATGAAAGCTCCACGACCAAACCATCCAGCTCAAAGGACAAAATTCCACACAAATTCATCCATCTGAGCTACAAATCTTCTTCACCATCTCAAAAACTCTGAACTGCAACTAGAGTAAAATATCATTAATAAAAGTGTACAATCTGAAATATCTGATAGGATTTGCTAAACTCATTCATTAGCTGTAGACACTTCAGAATAACTATATTATGTCATTTAATCATGTCCACAATGAGATTGATTACTTATTTATATTCACAAGATATATATACATACATGATATCCATTAGATTTGTTAATTATCGCTGTCAATTTGTTTATCAATGAGCTATGGTGGTCATACCTAGGAATAAATTAATTACTTCAAGTTCCAACAGAAGACGTAGTTCCATAATTCGTCATACTATGTTTCAAATTTTGAACTTCATTTAACCTTCGATAATAGGAAAATGAAAATGACCAATTAACTGATGTTGAAGTTCCCATTCTTCGTAGCCGAATGCAATGGTTTAAATATGGTGAATGTGTCGCTCAATTTTGTGGGTTAGTTGAGGTCAGATATTACCACTGTTTGATGCCGGCCGGCCGACTCCGTGGTCTAGTGGTTAAGCGTCGTTGCGCAAGACCGATAGTTCCTGAGTTCGAATCTCGCGAGATGGGAGCTCGGATGCGCATTGCTGGGGAGTTCCACAATGAGACGAAACGACCGTTCAGCGCTTCCGCGTTTTCCATGGTGGTCTAGCGTCGATTGACCCATTATCTCAACTATTGAAATAACTACAATATGTACAAAAACCCCCTTCGATGTCAATGTGCATTTACGGCAAATTATCAAGATAGTTCAGTCGACTGCGGGCAGAATCATTGAGTTATATAACCAATAAGAAATAGCAATTATCCAATTTACTTTTACATTTATTTTAATGTTTCAACCTTTTCAAAAGTGTTACCTTCTTACTATAGATTCAATTTGTACTAGATAAGGAATTTAATGAGATGCGAGGAGATCACTTATCAACTAGTTCTTTTCAATTGTTATACTTCTTTTTCATGTCTGTTTCCAAGTTCCGACATAGTGTATTCTTCGACCGTCTTCTTCTTCTTCTTCTTCTTCTTCTTGTATGTTTCCCTTCACGATTCCATGTTATCGCTTGTCTCATGATGTAGTTCGATTCCAGTTCAATACTATTTACTTGTTACTTATTTATTTCACAATTATTTTCATCTCATTTCTTCTATTCATAATGATTAATATAAGTAATATCGATTCAATTCATTTTGATCGAAAAGTTTTCTCTCAAACGGAATTCATTAACATTGCAACCTATTCAACATTGAATATGTTTCTTTTAATTCAATCATTATTAATGACTTTGTTTAAATATATTTTTCTTTCATTTTCATTGGTTGATTCACTAGAATTAAAAGAGAAAAGCTTGACAAATATAACTTAAAAATGAGTTTATATATATAGAGAGAGAAACCTAAGGCCCTGGGTTCTAATCCCGCGAGCCGGATCGTGGATGCGTACTGTTAAGGAGTCCCATAATATAATGAAACGGACAGCCAGTGCTTCTAGGTTTTCAACAGCGGTCTAACATCATTCGCTTCATGATCCCAATCAATAAACCTGTAATAATGTATTCAACTATTTATTCATCTGACAGTAGACTGTAATAAAGGAGTAATGAAATCATTTAAAATGATTGATATTCAGAAGAGTTACAATAACTGAATAGCTCAAATATTGATTTATTTAGCCTAAATAAAGCAATTTGTTGGTAGCAGGGTAATCCAGGAAGTGCGTTTTTCCTGATCTAGCACTTATCATTTCGGTGTACTTTCATTCAAGTTGATCTTCTCTCCGAAGCTCAAACCCAGTACTGTTCTCTTCAAATGCCATTCCGTTATCCACTTAACTACTAAGTACAGATAGCTACTGCCTTTTGGAGTGGAGTTAATTTTAATTTATACATATTGCTTGTTTGGATCTTTTCATTAATAGTTTACTAATGCAATTTCGAGATGGTGGAAAAGATTTGTAGCTCAAGTGGACAATTTTGATGGAGTTTCGTCCTCTGAACTGGATGGTCTAGTCGTGGAGCATTCATCGTTCTTCTGAACGACATTGTCAGCACAAACTTCAGGTAGACTTCTTCAGGTGACTTCTATCTGAAGATTTGTGCTGATGATGTCGTTCAGAAGAACGATGAAAGATCCACGACCAAACCATCCAGTTCAGAGAACAAAACTTCATCAAAAACTAATGCAAATGTTAAGTCTCTTCTGATATACATACATCCTATATGGATTGCCTAGATATTGTCATTAATTTTCAAGCATTTTAAGCAAAGATGAATAGTGGCTAGCAATGGAATCTAGGATGCATGTTTTACCCTGCTCGGATTTCATAAGGTGAACTTACCTGTTCAACTACAGTCATAAAACGTAAATGGTAAGTTGCAAACAACTAATATATATAATCACAATCAGAGAGGGATTTTCTGGAGATTGTAGTAGTTTAATAATCGAATGTATGAGTCATCTGAAATTAGACCATCATGGTAAACCTAGAACTACTGGACGGCCGTTTCATCCCACTATGGTACTCCTCTGCAGGGCACATTCACGATCCCTGCACGTGAGATTCGAACTCAGGACTGGAATGATTGAAGTCAGACATTTCTGAAAAGATTTTTCTCCTTTGTACAACTGAATAAAACGTTTGGTTAATAAATATTTCAATCCCATTTTATGTAAGTCATATTGATAGTAACCATAATATTCGGTTACGAAAAGGAGTAAATGTATTCTAATCTAAATTATCCAAATCATTTGGACCAAATGTTTTAAGATAATTTTAACGTGAATAAATTCAACACATAAACAAAAAAAAAGAATATCAGCTTCAAACCGAATACGATTGGAACGTATATTATTAGACCATTTTATCAAGGATCACATAGTCGAGATGAAATCTAAAAGTATAGTCTTTATCAATTCATTACTTGCTTACTTACTTACTTACTTACTTACTTACTTACTTACTTACTTACTTACTTACTTACTTACTAACTAACTTACTTACTTACATACTTACTTACTTACTTACTTACTTACTTACTTACTTACTTACTTACTTGCTTACCTACTTATGCCCGTTAGTTTTCGTGGAGGATTTGTAATGTCATTCAATATTTTTTTGGACTCTCATTTGATGATCAATCTCTACCTAATAACAAATAAATCTATTTAAGTTCATCAATATTTTGGGATAGTATAAACTAGATAATAAGTAAACTTCATGTTTGATGCAAAAACCATTAGAGATTTGTATAAGCCCATCATAGTATGTAAATTAGAAGTAAACTGTGTTACATTACCTAATTGTAGGATGTGATGATCTAAAATATAAAATCTAGAAACAACACTATGCGCTCGTTTCATTGTGATTACATCTCATTCCTACTGGAGGTTAGTCACGGCTCGGATAGCTCAGTGGTAACGTCTCTGACTCTGAAGCTGGGTGACACGAGATCGAACCCGCCAGGGAGCATCACTTCCCTCAAGATTACAGGTACACCTTGCTGACGAGTGCCAAGTAGCACGAAACCCGGGTCCAGGGTTTCCTGTTGACTACCTTCAACCACCATCTAATCTCAATACATAGTGCCCGCAGTGTCGAGTCACCTAGACTGGTGGCCACATTGCAACATGATCGATAGCATTCGATCTGCACTAATAAGGACTAGACAAGCATGACATTGATCACCACCCAGTGATCAATCAATTGTGATTACATCTCAGTCCTACAGGAGGTTAGTCACGGCTCGGATAGCTCAGTGGTAACGTCTCTGACTGTGAAGCTGGGTGACACGAGATCGAATCCGCCAGGGAGCACCAGTTCCCTCAAGATTACAGGTACACCTAGCTGACGAGTGCCAAGTAGCACGAAACCCGGGTCCAGGGTTTCCTGTTGACTACCTTCAACCACCATCTAATCTCAATACATAGTGCCCGCAGTGTCGAATTACCTAGACTGGTGGCCACATTGCAACATGATCGATAGCATTCGATCTGCACTAATAAGGACTAGACAAGCATGACATTGATCACCACCCAGTGATCAATCAATTGTGATAGGTATATACAAAATGAATAGGTTAATAATCTCATATGTTTCATTTAGAATAATCGGGTTCATTTCAAATGATTTATTTTAATATCATAAATTAGAAGGTATTGATGGTTGGATACAATACTTGTTAACTATCGTAAATATGAAATCTGTTTAATTGCCAGACCTAATAATCTAATCAAATAGATTACTTGAAGACTGTTGATTGAGATGGCCTAGATTGTTTACACGCAGTAGTCATCATCAGTATGTATAAAAATAAGTGATTTTTTAAGTAAGTGATTATAACAAATACAGAATGTCACTGATTGAAATCATGAGTCAGTTGAAGCTAGACTACCATGAAAAACCTGGAACTACTGGACGGCCGTTTCGTCTCATTATTGAACTGCCCAACAGTGAACATCCATGATCTCTCTCGCTGGACTCGAATTCGGGACTTTCGGTCTCGCGTGCAAACGCTTAACCTCTAGACCACTAAACCGGCATCCAACGGTGTTAATGTCTAACTTCAACCAATCCAAGAAATAGCACGACGGTTCGCCGTTGGGTACTGGCCCAGTGATCTACAGGTTTAGCATTCGCGCGCGTAGATCAAAGGTCCTGGGTTCGAGTCCTGCAGGCGAGATCGTGGATGTGCACTGCTGAGGAGTTTTTTTGGGAGGCACGTGTATCTGACTACTACTTAGATCGTACGAATGTTTGTTATCGCCAATTCTCGTATATAATCCTCGACTTAAATCACGTTAGCCAATAACGGAATTAAATAAGTCAAATAACGTGAAAGGGATTTTGAATACACATATATTTTGTATATGAGGTGAATGGAATAGGAGGAAGAGAAGCGACGCAGGTTTAGCGTTCGCGCGCGTAGATCAAAGGTCCTGGGTTCGAGTCCTGCAGGCGAGATCGTGGATGTGCACTGCTGAGGAGTTTCATTGTGGGATGAAACGACCATCCAATTCTTTCAGATTTTCCATGGTGGTCTAGCTTTAATCGACTCATGAATTTAACTATTAAAATACAGAATTAGTAAATATGTTTTATGAATCAATTGATTTGGTGAGGATACATTCACTCGAAGTTTGAGTAAGAACCTATGGCCTTTAAATCAGTGAGGATTAGTTTTGTCAACTAATTTATCAACTGGTTAGGTTATATTTATGCGTAGACTCAAAAATTCATAAATATACTGCTCATATTTGCTTCTATTGTTAGCCTCAGTGCGTTACTATGAAAGGAAAGAATGTAAATTTAACACCTAACATCCGAAAATGGTTGGTATCTGTTTCATATACGCAATATATATAATTCTTCAAGAGATCTACAACATCACTTCCATTAACTGTAAGAAGTGAGGAGATTGCGCATACAGACTACTTTGTTAATTTAAGTTACTCAACAA